AGATGTGTTGTGGGGTGGGAGGAACACGTGGTGTGGCGGCGACCTGCGAGTCTTAGGTGGATCAGTGTCCGGAATGGTAGTCTTCTATTCCCTTCTTTTCAAACATATAAATTATCATAGTTTTATAAGTTAAATAAATATTTGATCCCACATAATTTGTGGATTTTATATATGATTGTTAATTAAAATTTTGTATCCTATGATATATATATATATATATATATATATATATATATATATATATATTTTTTTTTTTTTTCAGTTCCTACACTCTATACCAGATTGTTGATATTAAACATAATTGAAGAGTGTACTTTTTTTTTTATATAGGATTTCGTGTTTTTTATATATTTTTATTTTAGCTCTCCAAAAAAAAGTTTTAATTATTTTTATAAAATTATTTAATTTAAAAAATATTCAATGATTAAATGTGAATCATAATTTATTATTAAATAAAGGCTATCCATTATTATATTTGTGATAAATTCTTCTATGTTTTCTTAAGTTAATATTAATTTATGATGAAATTTATTCCATTTCATTATACTCCATCGGTTTTAAAATACAATGTTTTAGAAAAAGAAAATTATTTTTAAATATATGTGATTTTAAAAATTTAATATTATATTAATGATTTTTATAAATTATATTATTATCTTTTAAATTATAATTATTATAAATGAGACAATAAATTATTAAAAATAATTTTAAATAACAAAATTTAAGATGATAAGAATATTGATGAAAACATATTAATAGGTTTATTATAAATAATAAAACAAAGATATATATATATATATATATATATATATATATATATTTATTTATTTGGCAATGATATAAAAAGATTTAAAAACAAAATTATGACAGTGTAAAAAAATTGATTTGCCATTCTCAGCTATTTTTGAACCTTTTAGCATATCTCACCTTCTTATAAGTTGATACATGCTTCTTTCTTGTACATCTAATCTTCATCAACCAAAAATTCAACAAACAAATAAATAAATTTCTGAAATTTACCCAAGTAATTTTTTTTTTAACATTATGAATCCTAAATAAGACAAAAAAAAACACAAAATACCTCGACCTTCACATAAGGATTTAGACTATGAAATTTGAAATCAAATGCAAATTAAAGTAAGGATTTAGACTAATGAAATTTGAAATCAAAATGATGGAAGTTTATTACTTTTTAAGTAATTTAACAATAAATTAATCGTTCGAAGTTTATTGCTTTACAAATTTATTTAAAGCAGTACTCTAATTGGAAATGAGTATTAAGATTATTTTTTTGTACAAAGTTTTCATTAACCCAAATATAGCATGCACATGTGTGTGTGGTGGAGAATAATTAGCTTGGTAGGTTAATGTCACTGTTTGACGAAGACTAATCACTCAATTTTTTTTATTTTTTATTGTGTAGCTAATTTAATCATATTTGAGAGACTAAAAGGAGATCAAATATTTAATTAGAAGAAAAGGTCTTACCTACCATTTCTGAACCCAAACCCACCTACCACTTCTGAAATTATTATTATTAACCTTTTTTTATATGTGATTTTGTTTTTATGTGATTTTGTTTTGCTGCATGTTTTTGTTAGTTTTGGCTTACGTGTAAAATATGGATAAGTATGGATAACTCTTCGATTCTGTCACACATAAAGCTTCTGGCTATGAATATCATTTAATTTATATCTAAAGGGATATTAATAGAAATATATTATTAAACAATTACCAGTCACTGAATCTTTACTTAGGATATGCGTGGAGAAGCTTTTATGATACAAAACTAGAGCATGCCATGCATCCACCTCGTATCTACTATGCAAAGCCATCACAGACTATTAAGTTTGCTTAACAAAATCAATGTGAGCAAAACTTTGGATTTGTCCACTCTGTCACCTCATATTCTTCAACCACATGATTCTCCAATCCTTAAACAACGGAAAATTGGTCGTGAACTGGCCAACTTATTGCAATTTCCGTGCCCAAATATTCCTACTTCTCATTACTTCAAGAAAATCCATGCCCACATTGTGGTTTTGGGGTTTCACCTACATGATCTCTTCCTTGTTAACACTCTCTTGCACGCTTATTCGAAACTGAACCTTCTAAGTGATGCACATAAGCTGTTCGATACTATGCCTCATTGGAACCTGGTTACTTGGTCCTCCATGGTTTCTATGTACACTCAACATGGTTACAATATAGAAGCATTGGAGTTGTTCTGCCGGTTCAGGAGAAGTTGCAGTGAGGAACCAAATGAGTACATTTTAGCCAGTGTTATTAGAGCCAGTACACAATTGGGTAGTCTCAGTCAGGCTCTGCTCATGCATGGTCTTATTGTTAAGGGTGGGTTTGATCAAGATGTTTATGTGGGCACCTCTTTGATTGATTTTTACGCCAAGCATGGTTATGTTGATGAAGCGAGGCTGATTTTTGATGGCCTAAAAGTTAAAACCACTGTCACATGGACTGCAATTATAACAGGGTATGCAAAACTTGGAAAAAGTGAAGTATCCTTGAAGCTATTCTACCAAATGAGAGAGGGCGATGTTTATCCAGACAGATATGTGATTTCTAGTGTTTTGAGTGCTTGTTCGATTCTCGAGTTTCTTGAAGGCGGGAGGCAAATTCATGGGTATGTGTTAAGGAGGGGCTTTGACATTGATGTTTCAGTGGTGAATGGAATTATAGATTTTTATTTGAAATGTCACAAAGTAAAGACAGGTCAGAAGTTATTCGATCAGCTGGTGGATAAAGATGTTGTTTCGTGGACCACAATGATTGCCGGGTGCATGCAAAATTCATTCCACGGGGATGCCATGGGCCTGTTTGTAGAAATGGTTAGAAAGGGTTGGAAGCCTGATGCATTTGGTTGCACTAGTGTTCTCAATTCTTGTGGTGCACTCCAGGCCCGAGAAAAGGGAAGACAAGTGCATGCTTATGCTATCAAGGTCAATATTGATAATGATGATTTTGTGAAAAATGGTTTGATTGACATGTATGCCAAATGTGATTCCTTGATTCATGCTAGAAAAATCTTCGACCTTTTGACTGCTATAAATGTGGTATCTTACAATGCAATGATAGAAGGATACTCGAGACAAAACAAGTTAGTTGAAGCATTGGATCTTTTTCATGAAATGAGGCTAAGTTTATCACCACCGACTCTTTTAACGTTTGTAAGCCTTATTGGGCTATCTGCATCATTATTTTTCGTAAAACTCAGTCGACAAATCCATGGCCTGATTATCAAATATGGGGCTTCTTTAGAAAATTTTGCTGGAAGTGCTCTAATAGATGTTTATTCTAAATGCTCATGTATTGGGGATGCAAAACTAGTTTTTGAGGAGGTATATGATAAAGACATTGTAGTATGGAATGCAATGTTTTCTGGGTACAACCAACAATTGGAAAATGAAGAGTCTCTCAAACTTTACAAAGATATGCAGATATCAAGGCTAAAACCCAACGAATTCACTTTTGCTGCAGTAATCACAGCAGCAAGTAACATGGCGAGTCTTCGACACGGCCAGCAGTTTCACAACCAAGTGATAAAAATGGGTCTCCATGATGACCCCTTTGTCACAAATTCCCTAGTGGATATGTATGCCAAATGTGGAAGCATTGAAGAGGCTCACAAGACATTCAGTTCCACTAACCAAAGAGACATTGCCTGTTGGAATTCCATGATTTCCACATATGCCCAGCATGGAGAGGCAGCAAAAGCTCTTGAGGTGTTCGAAAACATGATTAAGGAGGGAGCAAAGGCAAATTATGTCACCTATGTAAGTGTACTATCAGCATGTAGCCATGCTGGACTTCTAGACCTTGGATTTCACTACTTTGAATCAATGTCCCAGTTTGGAGTTGAACCAGGAATTGATCATTATGCTTGCATGGTTTCTCTCTTGGGCCGGGCTGGTAAAATATATGAAGCTAAGGAATTTATTGAGAAAATGCCAATCAAGCCAGCAGCAGTAGTGTGGAGGAGCTTGCTCAGTGCATGTAGAGTTTTAGGTCATGTGGAACTGGGAAAATATGCTGCTGAGATGGCAATTTCTTGTGATCCAACTGATAGTGGATCATATATATTACTTTCAAATATTTTTGCATCAAAAGGTATGTGGACAAATGTTAGAAGGGTGAGGAAGAAAATGGACATGAGCAGGGTAGTGAAAGAACCAGGTTGGAGTTGGATTGAAGTGAATAATGAAGTTCACAGATTTATTGCTAGGGACACAGCCCATCGAGACTCTACTCTTATATCTATAGTTTTAGACATTTTGATTCTTCATATCAAAGGGTTTGGTTATGTGCCTAACACTGCCACATTTTTTCTTGATGATTGAGATTAATCAAGCTGATAAAATCACAACTAAGCCAAGTCTTTTAAGTTGTTCATCAACTGAAAGTGAGAACATTGTTGCCCCTTCCTTAGCCAAGCTTCTCTTCACCCTAAAGATATTTTTTAACAAACCAATATATTCAAGTGAACAGGAGAGTTAGTTGATACAAATATTTATGTGTAAGGGGTTCAATTAGATTGAAAATAATAATTTCTCCATAACACTAAGAATTTGTTTGGAGCAAATATTATATAAATGAATTTATGTAAAATGATTTTAATTTATGTTGAAGTTAAGTTTATGTTTTCTTTTTAAAATGTACTTTTGGAGAAATTCATTTGAATACATATATTTATAAAAATATGTACAGATGAACTTTGACATAAATCATCTACTCTATTCATTGTTTATATACGGTAGATGTTATATATTCAATAATTTTAGTATTTTACTTTATTCCTAAATTTACATTATTAACTCTGATATTTTTTTATGATAAAATAAAATAAAATAAACGAAAAAAAGGTTATATATTACTTTCATTCAGTTGCAAATATTACATATAATAAAACTATTAACAAGAAGACAATATTTTACAAACTCAGAAAAAAAGAAAAGATTTTGCGTCTTGAGTTTTTCCCACTTCCGATGTTCTTCCTTTTTCTTCCAGCAGATTTTGTAAGGTACAGTTGTTTTACTTGTAGTTCATGTGTTTTTATTTGTTGACTGTTCTAAAAGAATTACTTCAAATTGTTGGAAATAACTAATGTAGGCACAAATAACCTAATAAACTAACACCTAAATAAGTAAACAAAAAATTTTCGGTTCAAGGACTATATATTCTTATAACATGTCAAAAAGGAAAATCTCAAGTAAAAAACAAATCTTTAAGTAAATAAAAAGAACAGGAAAAAAATAATATTAGAATTAGTTAGTCAAATTTAATGTTAACAAAAAAGATGAGTACTGAATTTATATGTAACCAACTCAAAAATGTTTTTCCAATAATTATAGTTCAAGTTTTGAATTTATACGTTTTTGGTATAGAGGCTTGTGCCCACATTTCGAATTTTGTGGGCCTGTGGCATGTTTTAGTCAAGTCAAGGCCCATTAGATGATAATAAAGAGAAATATAAACATTTGATCTCATTTGCTCAATGAGCAGAAATTGGGGTTTGTGTTGGAGGAGGAAGCAGCAATGGCGCCCAAGCAGGGAATTCGTAAGGGTAGCAGAAACCCGGAGTTAATAAGGAGCATTGGAAAATACTCGAGATTGCAGATGTACCACAAAAGGGGTATTTGGGCTATCTAGGCGAAAAACGACGGCGTTTTCCCTCGTCAAAAACCTCCAAAATTTTACCCTGCGGATGATGTTAAGAAACCTCTTCTCAACAAACACAAGCCCAAACTCACTAAACTCAGGTGCATTATGTGTAATCATATATATATATATATATATATATATATATATATACATTTGTTATTTTCTTCTGTTTTTTGCTTTTATTGTTTTCAACTTATTGAATGGTGGTTGTAATTTATTTTGGGATTCAATGAGTACAATGTAGGTCATCAGTAGCGGATTCAATGGCCGATTATTTTTTTAATTAATTTTATCTGTTTTACTATTTTTTTTAATCTGGAGCTTATGATGTGTATTTGTATTGGAATTGTTTCAGGGCTAGCGTTACCCCAGGACAGTGTTTATTCTTCTCGCCGGTAGATTCAAGGGAAAGAGGGAAGTGTTTTTGAAGCAGCTTCCTTCTGGATTGCTTCTTGTAACCGGTGAGTTTATATTGACTCTTTGCGTGGTACGTGGTTCATGTGTGATGCTGCAATTGTTTTAATCATCAAATTGATTAATATTTCAGTTCATGCTAACTGGTTTGTAAATGCTGTCTCTTCCTTATTTCCTGTATGTGTTTACTTCTTTTTCAACTCGGAATTTTGTCTTCTATTATCTTGCATTAACCTTTTGTGGATTGTTGCGTGTGTGTGCGTGATTGTTGGGTTATATTGTAGAGTTTAGTTTGACATTGCCTTTTGGTATCAGTTTAACTGAAATTTGAATAGGCGTTTGAGTCGGGTTTATTTTGTAATCAACTCTGTTCTCCAATCATTTATAGTCTAGCTCATGTTTGCCATTTAGGTCCTTTCAAGATTAATGGAGTTCCATTGAGACGTGTCAATCAGTCCTATGTTATTGCCACGTCAAGTAGATGTTTATGCTGTTAACGTGGATAATTTTGATGACAAATACTTCTTAAAGGAGTCCCAGAAAAAGAAAAAGAAGGGAGAGGGCGAGTTTTTCATCGAGACAGTGAAGAAGGTGGGATATGCTAATTTTATTATTATGCAACTTCCATGTTATTCTCAGTTGTTTCTGTGTGTTGATCGTTTTATTTTTACCATAAAACAGGAAAAACGTGTCTTACCCAGGAGAAATGACCAGAAAAATGTGGACTCTGCGTTGATAAAATCCATTGAGAGCATTCTTGACTTGAATGCTTATTTGGGTGCCAGCTTTTCCCTAAAGGCTGGTGTGAAACCTCATGAGCTAGTCTTCTAGAGGAAAGGGGTGTTAAGCTTTTATTAATTTCAACTTAAAATTTTGTGTTGCGAGCCCAGACACTTTTTTCTATACTTTTTGCCCTTTTTAACGTTTGTGTTTATAATATGATTTAGATATTATATTGTAATGCTTTCGACTTAGCATGTCAAATGAGAATTATTAGAAATAGTAGAAATAGTTATGCTACGTAATTATGTTTTTTTAATAGAACTTTGATAACAAATTTAATGTGTTTGTATTTATATATATATATATATGCGGAGAGTAATCTTTTTAGTTGAATATTCTAGGATTAAAACACACATATATTATGACTTGAGCTTCTTGGCGAGGACAAAGAAGAGGATTAGGAATTTAGGTAGGAGGTTCTAGGGCCTAATTATTAAGGTGGTATATGATATGGATATTATAGAATGCAATGTTGCCAATAATTGGAAAATGAAAAGTCTCTCAAACTTTATAAAATCTCCGCAGATGGCTAGGCTTGAAATCCAACGAATTCGTAATCACAACAACATGTAACATACGAGTCTTCGACAACCTAGTGATAAAAAGAGTTATGATATTTTAATAACAAAAACATTATTTCATCAACTCATTTTTAGATTTTTATATTATTATTTATCTATTTTACTTGATATTTTTTTCCCATCAATTAACCAAAAAAACTAATATTTTAAGATTGTCAATAGGATATTTGTAAAAATGGGTAAGAGGTTCACAAGATATTCAGTTCCACGTACCAAAGAGACATAGTCATGTTGGAGTCACCACTTTTAATCAATGTCGCAGTTTGTAGTTGAACTAGAGATTGATAATCATACTTGTATGGTTTCTCTCTTGGACCAACCTGATAAAATATATGAACACGAGGAATTTATTGAGAAAATCAAAGCTGGGGGAAGAGTTTGTTCAGTGCATGTAGAGTTTTAGGTTATGTGGAATTGGAAACATACTGCTAAGATGACAATTTCGTGTGATCCAACTGATAGTGGATCATATATATTACTTTCAAATATTTTTGAATCAAAAGATATATAGACAAATCTCGAAACGGTGAGGGAGAAAATGACCTTCACATATTTATTGCTAGGGACACATAGATCATGGACACTCATATTTTTAATTTTAGACAATTTGGATCGTCGGATCAAAGGTTTTAATCTTCCTAAAATTGCCACCTTTTTTCTTGATGATTGAGATTAATCAAGCTGACAAAATAACAACTAAGCCAAGCCTTTTAAGTTGTTCATTAACTGAAAGTGTGAACATTGCTTGCCACTTTGTGAGCCAAGTTTTTTTCACTTTGGATATGATAATTTGTGATCCATTGGGTTGGTTATTTGTGATTGTCTTGAGTAAACCTTCAACCTAAATTATCTTTAATCTGGACACTCCTGTTCCTCTATCTTTACAACAAATTTTTTGATAAAAGTGACCGGATAAAAGGAATGAAGTAAGAATGGGTAAAAGAATAAGAAATGGAGAGGCATTTACAAAGAATGAAGATGGTGGAGATAGACTTAAGAAGATAGAAAATAATGAATTATTTTTAACTTAATGGAAATACTAAGAAATGATTCTTGTACAATTAATATTTACAATACAATTGGAACATTTCAACTTTACATAGTAACACAATAGGCACAATAATGGAGAAAAAAAAAACATAATATCAAACAATTAGTTTTTCGTAATGTTTTTCATTGATACGTATACGTATTTTTCTCTTGTAATGTTAATTACAAAAGTGTATTTTTAATGTATTGAAGTGTTTTTTATTGGATCGGACTGGACCGACTACCACACATACAAACAGTTTCTTGGGCCTGAGACATGGATCCTACGAGTCGGGTGAAGTCATGCTAGATAGGTTTAAAACATGAAAATGATTGTTTTCATTTGAACTTGACAAAAATTAGGGTTTGACTAAAACCTGAAAAATGGATTAAGTCATGTTAAATTTTCGTCCGACCTTTCTTTTTATTTCTTGACTGTTCCAAAAAGATTACATGAAAAATGTTAGAAACAAGTAATATAAGCCCAATCTAATAAGCCAATACCTAAAGAAATCATATTTAGAAAGCTAAAGAATAAATTTTAGATTATGGACTACATATTCGTATAAATTCGAGTTTAGCCTTCAAAATGGAGCAGTAAATTGTGATTTTTGAGGAGGATCACAATTAAGTAAATATGAGAAAATGATATTGAAAGAATATGTAGCTTAATAACAAAAGGAAAACAAATATTGTTTGAGTTAAGGTTGTGAGAGTTAATATTAATAAAAAAAATTAGTATTGAATTTAACACACACCAACTTAAAAATGTTTTCCCAATAGTTATATATGCAAGCTCATGGCATTGAATTTATATGATTTTTCAGATACAAGCTCATGCCAACATTTCGTATTTTGTGGGCCTGAAGCACGTTTGACTTAAATCAAGGCCCATTAGATAGCTATACAGAGAAATATAAACATTTGATCTCAGAATGCACACTGAACCGAAATTAGGGTTTGTGTTGGAGGAGGAAACAGCAATGGCGCCCAAGCAGGGAACTCGTAAGGGTAGCAGAAACCCGGAGTTGATAAGGGGCATTGGAAAATACTCGAGATCGCAGATGTACCACAAGAGGGGTATTTGGGCTATCAAGGCCAAAAACGGTGGCGTTTTCCCTCGTCACGACCCTACACCGAAACCTAAAACTCCCGCTCAAAAACCTCCAAAATTTTATCCTGCGGATGATGTCAAGAAACCTCTTATCAACAAGCACAAGCCAAAACCCACTAAGCTCAGGTGCATTATGCGTAATCATTTATATATATATATATATATATATATATATATATATATATATATATATATATATATTATTTTCTTTATTTTTTTGTTTTTATTAATTTCAATTTATTGAATGGTGGTGGTCGTAATTAAATTTGGAATTCAATGAGTATAATGTAGGTTATCAGTAATTGATGGAATGGTCGGTTATTTTTTAATTAAATTTCTCTGTTTTGCTATTTTGTTTTTATGTGGAGCTCATGGTGTGTATTTGTGTTGGAATTGTTTCAGGGCTAGCGTTACCCCTGGGACAGTGCTAATTCTTCTCGCCGGCAGATTCAAGGGAAAGAGGGTAGTCTTTTTGAAGCAGCTTCCTTCTGGGTTGCTTCTTGTGACGGGTAAAGTTTTGTTATTAAACATGTATTCTAACATTTTGCATGGAAAGCACTATGTTCATGTGTGATGCTGCAATTGTTGTAATCATCAGTTGAATTTATATTTTAGTTCATGATATCTGGTTTGTAAATGCTTCCTCTTCATTATTTTCATGGGGTGTTTACTTCTTTTTCAACTGGGAGTATTGTATTCCATTATGTTGCTATAACTTTTTGTGGATTGTTGTGTGCGCGCGCGATTTTTTTGTATATTGTAGTATTTTAGTTTGACACTGGATTGTCGTATCCATTGATCTGAATTTTGAATTGTATTTGACTCGAGTTTTTATGGAATCTACTCTGTTCTCAAACCATTTCTGGTCTGGCTTATGTTTGTCACATGCCATTTAGGACCTTTCAAGATTAATGGAGTTCCATTGAGACGTGTCAACCAGTCCTATGTCATTGCCACATCCACCAAAGTAGATGTTTCTGCGGTTAACGTGGACAGGTTTGATGACAAATACTTCTCAAAGGAGTCCCAGAAAAAGAAGAAGAAAGGAGAGGAAGAGTTTTTTGAGGCAGAGAAGAAGGTTGTATAAGTTAATTTTCTTATTATGTTACGTCAATGTTATTCTCACTTGGTTCTATGTGTTGATCTCTTTATTTTTACCATAAAGCAGGAAAAACATGTCCTGCCCCAGGAGAAGAAAGAGGACCAGAAAAATGTGGACTCTGCGTTGATAAAAATCATTGAGAGCATTCCTGACTTGAATGCTTATCTAGGTGCCAGGTTTTCCCTAAAGGCTGGTGTGAAACCTCATGAGCTAGTCTTCTAGAGGAAAGGGTGTTACTCTTGTTTTTTGTACCATTTTTTTATTTATGCTGGTCCTATTAAATCTGCATTCAACTTTTTTTTGTGTTGTGAGACCCTTATTTCTTACTACAGTTTTGCCCCTTTCAAACGTTTTTGTTGATTGTATGAACTCTAGATATTATATTGTTAATTTCGTCTTAGCATGCTAACAGAAGAATATTAGAAACAGACACGTAGATAATCATGTTTTTTAAGCATGTAGTTAGGGGTTTGACACCAAAGTTAGTGTCTTTAGTCAAATACTTTTGAGTTTATCCTAAAATAAAGAAATGCTATCTTATGTGTAGGTCATCCATGTCATCTGCGGGTGATTGTACTTCGGTTATATAAAGTCATTTTTTGGATGTACTTTACTATGCTACAATATACACATTTTTATAATTATAATTTGATAAATTCGCAGGAATAATTCTTAGTTTTTTAAAATTATTGTGGTGTTAAGATAGTGTTTTGAAGATCATTATGATTGTCATACTAATTTTTCACATAGCCTAATCAATTTAATATTTTCTTAACATACTGATATTTTAGCTTAAAGATCATTATGATTATCATACTAATTTTTCACATAGCCTAATCAATTTAATCTTTTCTTAACTTACTGATATTTTAGCTTATTTGAGAGGTTATTTGGGACCATTTTTAAAGAATAAAAACATCACGCCTGTAATACTATTATGAGTGTGGACTTCTGTTATGCATAACTTTATACAAAAGTTTGATTTCCGGATTAGGTCAGTTAATAGGTCAATTTGGGACGTTTTTCTTATAGTCTGAAAGATCAAAAGGTGCAGAAAAAATGTTGAGGTTCAAGAAATAACTGTCTGTCGTATTTGTTTGGAATTTGGTTGTTTAATGCCCTATGGAATATCAGGTTTGAAATTGGGATAATTTAAATTTCCACGTTTGAAATATAATGATAATGTAGTATTGAAATACATTAAGATATAATAGATTAAAATTCTACGATTCTAAATCAATAAAATAAATTTTATTATTGAAATTTTACCTTGATAAAGAAGCTTCATGGGAAGAATAGGAAATAATAAAAGACAACGGTTACGAGTTCAACCTAAATAACAAGATCGATTCTACGTGATACAAGTAGGAAGACTCAGGTGTGAATACACACGAATCAACAACTTAAAAAGGCATCAAGAAATTTACATAAATGAAGTTTAGAAGGAAATTTACATAAATGAAGTTTATAAGGAAAAATGAGTTTGATAATAACAAAGCTAAAAATTGGATAATAAGAGTCTACGGATTTTCTTTTGAGATATTAATAAAAATTTGTCCAATTTCTTCTTTGTATTTATTTTTTTGTTTTGATTTTTTTTTTCTTTCGGCAAGCATCACAGTCTTAATTGGATTAACCAAATTTTTAGATACCATAGCAAATAACAGAAAGAGCATAATCATGAAAGGAAAAATAACAGCAAGAGCATAATCACGAAAGGAAAATTAGGACTGAAAAGGAAATTTGTTTTCAAATCAAAATCAATAGCCATGTATTTATCATCAAATTAACAGAGAAGCATAACAGTTTCTACTCAGAATCTTCAGAAAATAAGACAACACTTGCCATTATTAAGCTTTCACACAACAATTGAAGTAGCTGAGGAAACTCTTCCTTACCTGAAAGGAAAAATAGAAAAATAAATAATGTGTCATACGTATATATATGACATGTTTACACAACTTGGTGTAACCGCAAATGTACCTAGCCGAGCCCAATTTATTGCAGATCATAGACGTTTCCTTTTATTTTATTATATTCTTGTATACATTTTATTGGGTTGTTTTTTTCTGTACTAGGCGTCTCATAACCACATAAAGGGATATTATCCCCAATAAAATGCAAGTAACATGTATATTTATAAAGTGTAGTGCAATTGCCCCAAACATCCATCGCATGTGCGTAAACTAGAATTGCATGTTGCCTTGGTATCTATATTACATCTTTCGCCTTGAATCTCTATCGATCAATTTCATCTGGGTCCCAACTTTGATATTTTGTATTTTACAAAATAAGTTACTGTATTTCTTTCTTCTTTCTTTGGATGGAAAATATTTGTACAATATTCACTACTTTCTCTCCACAATATTTTTATTTAATGTCTCTTACTTGTCCAATATAACCCTAAATTATTTTGGTTTTCTTCGTTTATTTCGACGGAGATTTATAAAATTATAAGGCTATCCGGAGTTCTAATTGTACAAAATGTATATAGAATTAAACTTAAGAGAGGAAAAAAAGGCATTGATACAGATGATATATTTTGTCATGAATGACAAATTTTTTGGCAAGAAACCCTCCATGTAGACTCTAGAGTTTTTTAGATCTAAAATGAGTTACTCTGTTCTTTTTGCTATGAGGAGATAGATAAGGTGCTAGTTTAAAAATATTTGCAAAATGCTCAAAGAGTCAAGGTCAAGGAGAGGAAGAGAAAGAAAAAGTCATAGAGAGAAAAAAGACCTCATACATTAAAGACACTTAATTAACAGAAAAATGTTGTTCCTCTCATGTAATGAAATGAAACAAAGGAAGGACACAGTGAATTTCTTTCTTTGATATTTCATTTCCAAAAAAGCTACATAAATAAACTGCACTTTATTTATTAAAGAAGACCATTTCGCATAACTTCTGTTTTTTATTCTTGAAAACTGGCTGAAATTCGGTTAGTGGAAAATAGAATTATAAACAGATTTTTTTACTATTAAAAAAATAAATAAGAAAAAATAATTCTTTTATTATTATTTTTTATATTTTTTAGTAAACAATAATATGATTAAAAAGTATTTTGGAAGAATTATAAAAATTAGTTATTTATAAATAATAAAAGAAGAAATGGTATTTTAGAATAAGTAATGTAAAATTATTATTAATTTAATAAATATTTAAATTTAAAATTAATAAACAATTTTTTATTAACTTAAATAATACATAATATTTGCTAAATTATTAACTTATAGATAATTAATTGACAATATAAAATTTATTTTATTTTAAAAAAATGCTTTTGATCATTATATAAGTAAAATCAATTTAATTATGATTTTAAAATAGACTCAATTTAATCATAGCGCTGTATTATTGTTAATAAATTATGAGTAATTTAAACATCATTATTAATATAAAAATTTATTATATATTTGAATATACAAATTAATAGAGTTTAACAATAAATTGTATTAATAATCACAATTATATATATATATATATATATATATATATATATATATATATAGAGAGAGAGAGAGAGAGAGAGAGAGAGAGAATTAAATTTATGTAAATTTATTGTTAGTACTAATGATTTGTACATATTTTAAATTTATGTTAATATTAAATTAAATGAAAAGTTGTACAATAGTAATAAATTTAATTTTATAAAATACTATATTGTAAAAAAATAATAAATATATAAAGTTTATTAGTATTAAAATATTATATTTTAAAATGTATATTTATTAATGATGAATATTAGGAGATGGTGAAGAAAACTTCCATTAATAATTAAAATAAACTCGTACATGGAAGGACAGGAGATTAAAATATTTTTGAAATAGAAACATAATTTTGAGGAACACAAACTTCTTAGGTTACCTTGTCCGGAAATGTTGGCTAGAAATTGATATCTTTTGTCATGAAAAATAAATATATCTGAAGAGTATAAAATAAAATAAGCAATGTGATTAAAGTAAAATATATTATGGGAAAAATGAGTAAGAATAATATTATTCAAAATATATGTTCATAAAAAAAAAATACTCTTCTTAATTATATTTTGATTTATATATGTAAAACTTTTCTTTTTATAATATAACATTATTTCGCAAATTGATTAATACATGTGCTAAGAATGTTAACGAAAACATTGATAAAAAGAATAATTGCATAATTTTAATTTTATAAAAAAATAGAAGAAAATCGTAAAATGATATTTGATTTTGACCAGACTTAATGACATGATTTAACCACAATAGTAATGAAGATTTATAGGATTACGTTTTATATTTCGTGTAGACATATTTTTTAATTTATGTGTAAAAATATGAAAAGTATTAAATATTAAGAACATCTTAATCATAATTACTTAAATTAAAATAGATTTAATACATTTTTATCTTATTTTAATTTAATATTTAATTTAAATAAAAAATAATAAAACATATATTTTTAATAAATAAAATAAGAAATTATTATCATTATATTTTTTAAAATAGATTTTTTCATATCTCCATCATATTAATTATACAAATGTAATTACAATTGCAAAAAACATATTTTCTTAATATTAACGTAATATCATTGTATAAAAGCTAAGACACATCATTTTGGCACTGCAAAATGTCTCTCATAACCATGTATTTTTTTTTTCTAACAGAAAAAAACATGACGCAAATATAAAGAATTTTTTTTATCAAAAGTAACTTTGCCGCTGAGAAATCAGTTGGTAATTTATAGTTATACGATAAATATTAAGTCGGAATCCTTCATTTAAAAATGAAAAACAGTCTCACAAGGACCGGGTTTATTTTAAAGTTCCAATTAACTTTTAACGAGAAAAAAAAAGTACGATAAGAATGTTTTTGTCTCGTCCCTTCATTTGATTTATGCCACATGCACTCAAGCACCCATCCAACCGTACCCCCACCCCCATTTGCCACTGCCATTTTATTCAATCTATAATATCATACCGATGGAAATTGCTGATTACATTTTACTGTAACAACAAATTTGTGTGTGGATCAACAAATTTAGTTCTTAGATTGGTGAGACATTGTTAATTAAACTTTTAAAAAAATAATTGAGTTACTTCTATGTATAAAAAATTATAAATTGACAAACAAATTTTATTACTTAACAAAATTGTCATTAATTTTGTGTTAAACTAATTCTTTTTATTTAGTGATACAATTATCTCACAAATCATAACACAAAGACATATTTATGAAACTTCATTTATATATTAAATAAGATTTCTTATTCTTTTAAAAATTATGTATTTTTTTTTTTTAAACAGGGAGGCTTTTCAAGAATCTTACAGTTGGAGAGTCCGTTTGATGGTAGTGAGGTTGGGGGTGCTCACTGCTGAGGCCAGTTTTTCCGTTGGAGGAGGTTGAATCAATGAACTCTTCTTCATTACCAAGACTTGCCCTAGAAATATTTGACTTGTTCTGCTTCCTAGTTTCCCTGATTTTTGAGAAATCAAGTGAGTAGTCTGGCACTTGGCCCTTCTGATCCCAATCCCCAAATTGTGGCACCGATAGCCAAGGACTATTTTTCTATGATCAAAACATTTACAACTAAGTCAGCTAATCAGAATAATAAACGGTATACCAAAAAACTGATACAAACGAAAGAGTTAGATATGATGGTATGTTATTACATATTGTAGTGATGAATTTGACTAATTCTTAGCTTTAAAAAGTGCTTTGTGGTTTACTTGTACGACTGCAACACTGTGATAATCGTTTCAGAGCAATCGAGGTTCCCTAGAGGTTAATAAAAACAAATTTCTATAAAAACAATTAATTGCAGACAATCTTCATCTTTTAAAAAGAAAAAGAAAATGTAATAAAGCCAACGAGAAAACAACAACTTGTAACTAACTAACCACAGTGATCCGGATCCATTTCAAGGTTTAAAAATAAAAACGAAACGATTCGTTAAGCTGAGCTGGAAAGGGAAGCGCATGAGTCATGGTGCTCGTGCCTCCGTTTTAAAAAAATTTAAAGAAAATAAGAAAGAATCAAAGCCTAGAAGTACGAGTATCTCTGCGGATGCATGCTGAACAACAGTTATTACTTAATCACCAAACTGAAATACGGAATCAGAAGACAAACAAAACATGGATTTTGAAAACGGTTAAAACATGCAGTTCTTCAGATAATTTTTTCAGCCTTCCCAGCGTAAAATTTTAGTTTCGCCATTAACAAAGAGAATAACTCCAGCACCAAAAACAGGTAAACGATCGAATATCTGTATTTAAGATTTTCGTCATTTTAATGTTACCCAACAATTAAATCAAATCCTATCTCTAAGCTTAACACGACAACACTCAGTTTTCATACAATCAGAATCTCTCTGTTTCAGCTCTATGTGGTTCAATTCAACAAGCAGCATGTAATTTAATAGCCAGATTCATGATTTAGGGAATATTACATTTAACACAAACAGTACAGAGAAATAATCCATTCCATTCCAGTGGAGAAGGATTAGGTTATTTTTATGAAGCAAATAAATACAATATGAAGAAAAAGAATAATTAGAGAGAAAGAGAGAGAAACCTCTTTACGACCATCCATGAGTGTTGTTGAGATCTGAAAATGGGCTTGGAAGTAATAGCGTGTGTGGGTACTTATAGAGCAAGAGCGAGAGTTGAATGTTAACGAAGTGAAGCAATAAAACTATGTGATTGGAGTAACATTATATCATGTTATGTGTGTATATAATAATAATAATAATAATTAATAATCAACTCTTTTTTTTAATCTTGTTTTTATGAAGACTTTTTCTATTTATTGTTTTGTGAGAGTAAGTCCATTTACGAAAATTCCAGTGTTGGACACGCTTTGCTTACCCAGCACACACGACTTCAATTTATGTGTGTTTTCTTCTTTGGTGCATTGGTAATTGGCTGGTTGTTTGGTGCGATGTGCAGTGCCTGTGTCTCTGACTTGGTCACGATACCTTTTCCCCTAATCAGACCCGTGACTTCACACCCTAAATTTGTGAGAATATCAGCTTCATGCTATCGTTTCTTCTTCTAACACTGTTTTATTATACAATGGTTATAATTAAATTGAAAATTACAATCTTGAAACAAACTTATTAAATAACTGCTTAATCACATATTTTATCACTTTAACTATTATCATTTTGCAAATTTTTCCATTCAGATTTTGTTCTCATTTTACCATTAAAGCTTTTAATTTTCTCAAAATTGACAGTTAAATCGGATTTAATTATTTTGTTGAACAATTTTATTTTGTATTTATTCTGTTGTTGAACAATTAATAAATAGAAAAGTCGTGCACATCCAATAATAAAACATAAAAATAAGACAATCATGATATCGGGTTTTTAACTGGAGTATTTAAAATTTGAGCTTGACGTTGATATTAAAACTTCAATTCATTATATATTTTCTTCAATTGCGAATTTGTTAATTTTTTTTTTCTTTCTCCCATAAACAATAGTTACAAAGAGACGTAAACCATTCTAAAATCACAAATATTATTTGTTGATGATGAAATATGTGTGGCATTGACCAGAAGTGGTTTGAATTTGAATTGTTACACAACTTGCATGCGCTTCTTTTGAAACTCATACCATAAACTTGTATGTTAGGTCAAATGGTGCTATCCCTTTATCCACCACTAGTGGAAAAGCTGAGGATTGAGAAAAAAAAAAACGGGGGAAAGAAAACAATAAAAAAATTATCTTATACTTTGTTAACTTTCATTCGTTATTTTATTTTTTTATATTTGACACCATTCATAATTTTTGCACATTTTTTGTTTAAATATATTAAATTCTTTAATTTTGTTTTGAAATTTCTATTTTTAAAACAAGCCTAAATAAGTTTTAAAATATGTTAATTGAATATATTTTTTGGCATATATTTTTATTAAACGTATGTTACTATTTTTAGTGTAAATGATTCACTTTTAATATAATTAACAATCTGATAATGAATCACTTAAATATTACATAATTTTTAAATTTATTCAACATTTAGTTTTGAATAAATTCTTTAATTTTTTGCACATTTTTGTTTAAATATATTAAATTCTTTAATTTTGTTTTGAAATTTCTATTTTTAAAACAAGCCTAAATAAGTTTTAAAATATGTTAATTGAATCTATCTTTTTGGCATATATTTTTATTAAACATATGATGTTATGTTACTATTTTTAGTGTAAATGATTCACTGTTCAATATAATTAACAATTTGATAATGAATCACTTAAATATTATATAGTTCTTAAATTTATTCAAAATTTAGTATATAGTAGATTTCAATTAAATATCATTTGTATTTAATTTTTATATTTAATACAATCTGAAATATTTAGAGCAAATTATACGTAGTAAGGAACTATAAAAGTAAATAGTTGAAAAGTAAATATGCAAAGAAATTGATAAATCTAACCTATTACTAAAGGTAAAATAGAAATTGATAAAGAAAATCAACTAGAGTAGCGATCCAAATTGTAAAGAACTCCATTGAAAATACTTATTTCTAGTTCGTAACGTTTTTCAACATACAAGTTTCTTTGTACAATTTAATAATCATCCCTGTTACATTTATTTTATCATATATATATATATATATATATATATATATATATATTTTCAATGTAAACACCAATGTGACATAAAATAAAGTAATAATAATAAAAATATAAAATAAAACTATTATTAACTAGAGTTTTCAAACGATTATTTCTTATAATTGCTTCCATTTGTTCCACTCTATTGATACATTTCACTTGGTAACTTACACATACCAAGGACTTTTCTACCCCATAATCTTATACTGATGACTTTTCTCCCAAATCTTCTTTTGATAACTCATACTGATGACTTTTCTACCCCATAATATACCTTTCTCGATTAATACATTTATTCCTTCCAACTGTCAAATATCTCTTTTTTTGATTCATTCTTTCAATCATTTGTAAATTTTAGACTTAACAAAATGCCCCCTAAGAGAATAATATATAAATCTCGATGAATATATGTATTCTCTTCGATATCAACTTCAAATGTTTTATCCTTACTTTATTCCATAGTTGTTCATCCCATGTTCCTATCATTACTTTTCATTTCCCTCATAAATGCAAAATTCTTGTAATAAATACTATTGTTGTACAGTCACTCTTTCACCTGTCATTGGTCTAAATTTATTTAAAATATTCGATTTATTGGATATGGGCCTACACCAAGCCCATCACATTACTAGGTTTCCAAGGAAAAGATCTCTCCTTTCAAAATTAAGACTATTCATCTTCCTCATCCTTACATACTTTCCCTACTTTGCAAATTGTTACTCAAAGTCTTCTCCACTACTTCATTTTCGCATCATCTATATCATACTTAAATCTCAACTTATATCTTCCCTTCAAATGGCTTCATCATCTGTAACTTCCCAAATTTCCAGCGTTCAATCTATTAAAACTCAATTTGTCGAACTAAATGGCTAAACCTTTGCACCAGTCATCGGACTACTCGAGGAAACCCAAAAAGTTTGTTCTACCTATGTATTAATTCCATACTCAGTAAGAGGTGTTCCATTAGCCTTCGGAGAACCATTGATACCCGATCCTAAAAAACTCGTTGACTTTCCTTCTACCAAAGAGGGAAAATGCATTCTCTAAGAACTTGAAGGAAAATTCAGGGTAAACTTCTTCTCCCAAACGTCCAAATTGTATCGTTTTGGTATGCCTTAGAAAAAATCGACTTATATTAAATGACTCGATAGAATTGAGTCTCAATTCAAATAACATTGGAGAAACATAGGTATATATGACCTTCTCTATCTATCTAGACTTGACATAGGTTATCTCGATATGTCAATATTTCTATCAGCCACCCACCTTTGGAATAAGGACCTCAATGCATTGGAGTTTTCTTGTGGGTCGGTCTCTCCATCTCTTTTAGATATAGTTGCAATCACAGGTCTCAAACCTATTAGAGAAAAATACCACATACATGCCTTCCCTGTTGATAAAAGAATCGAATCCAAAATTTGATGGAACAAAAACACATGCGATCATTTTTTGCAAGAGCACTTTGTCGATGATCCATCGATTAAAGTTTTCGAAGAAGAACATATATCATTTCTTGTATACTGGTTATGCACTCACATTTTCTGTCCCCGTTCCATCCAAATATCTTCACACTATTATAATTTGACGTTCTTGCTTCATCGAGGAACCCCCAACATATGTTTGCCAAATTATTGCTTGCTCATGTGTATGCTGCCTTTAGCGAAGCAGTTGATACTTTCCGCTCCAACTGTCCGGGTGACAACTTGTCAGACCCGTTATGGTTTATTCAACTATGGTTAACTGCCATTTTTGAATCACGTCTTCCTCCACCCGCAATTATTGGTATTATTGTTCCTTTTTACCTGTTAGAAGGCGTTCAATTAGCCATTAAACACCCTTATCATTACAAGCCAGATAATGTTACATATAGAAGCTAACTTAAATTCGTCCTAGCTCAGACAAAATTCTCCATCATCCTCGCCCAGTTTCTAAAATTGGCGAGTCAACAATGGATATCAGAGGTCAACGTTGGCTCAAATCAAAACCACCGGTAAACATAGGACTGCAAGTTAAACGTATTGAAGGTTATAGTGGTTTCCTAAGATGGGACATACTCACATCTGGTCTCTAATCGAAAGACGTACAACTTTTCCCATATGTCCCTCAGCACTTTTCACACTAGTTTGGTTTGAGCGAAGCCTTTCTTACCTCTCAATTCCATACACTTATTCCTAGAGGCGTTACCTACAATGAATCATCTCTTCAAGAGACTCTATTCCAATTAATACCCAAAGACCTATCGAATATAACCCCTTCCCCTTTGAGTCAAATTTTTTAAGAACTTTTGAGTTCTACACATGGTAGGATCAATGATTTGCCCACCAGAAATCGAACTCATGACCTTGGCTCTGATACCAATTGTTAGGATTGAGCGCTTACCACTTGGCCAAAAGCTATAACTATTAGTCAGAGCGCAACTCTTTTTACTTAAGAGTAACAACCCAAGCACCACGATTCGATTGTGACTCGGCCCACCCAGCCTCTGCCATGAGACAATTGATGCTACCTACTGTTAACCATACAAGGAAATGAAGCTTGCAGATTTTGATGATGATTCAAGAACAAAGGACTTAGAGATTTGAAGACTTGTAATC